CCATTTATACCCCTCAAAGACTCAGAACCAAGGGAGCTAACAAAGCACAATATCACATACACACACACCTGGAAAGTAAGTTTAACTAATGGAGTATATCTGAAAACAAACTTTTAACAAAAAAATTAAAGGGATTTTTTAGTATCAAATAGATTTCTTAATTTCTTTGGGGGTTCAATTTTACAATAAAGGCTTCTGTTTGAACAGATAGTAGTTAAATCTTTCCTTTCAACTAAGAAAAGCCCAATATGACTACTAATCAATTTTATCATCTCCCAGTAAGCAGTTCTTAGCAATGCATACATTTATTTAAACAGTTCAAGAGCACTAAAAGGTGTTAGGTACAATGTGAGGCAGTGACTAAACAGAAATAAATGGCAGACTCTGACCTCAAGGAGCTCACAGTTTAATCAGAAGATAAACACTGTACTAATAAGCAAGTGTTAATAAAGGTAAGTGAAAGGTCAATGAAGCTCAAGTCCAGATTTGGGAGGTGGTCCTAAGCAGCCTAAAATATTAGCCTAAAATACAAGAGCCTGAGAACACAATAACTAAAAATTTCCCAAAACCCATTCCTGAGATGGAAACAACATTAATCCCCATCATTACCAATTAACTGAGATTACCTACAGCATCCAGACAAATCTTAGGCTAACTAAAATATCTTCACTTCAAAAAGGCCAATATATTCTCCTTTCAAAACTTTTATGCTTTCACCAAAAAATCCAGTTTAAGTCAACAAAAAGGAAGAATTACGTTAAAACAAAGCAAAAGCAACAGATGAAAAAAATTAAGTATTTGTCTGAATAATACTTTTAAATTGTGATGTCTCTGCTTCACCGGACACTTAGTACCACTTGACATTCTTCGAAGGAGGAGAGAGAAGACAATCTGCATCTTTTGAGGCTTTAAAAATAATAATTCTATAAGTATCTCAGGCAACAGCATGTTCAGTGTGGCTTCTAAATTAACGTATATCTGAATATAAGAACTCTGGAGGTTACCTAGTCAGTTAATATTTCTTGAAATAGCTGCACACAGTTTCGTTAGGAATGATACACCAATTGAACTTTAAAAAAAAAAAAAACTGGGGATTAAACAGACACACCTTACCACTGAGCTATATCCCCAACCTTTTTTATTTTTTATTTTGAGGCAGGGTCTAAGTTACTGAGGCTGACCCTGAACTTGTGAACGTCCAGAGTTTCTTGTATTACAGGCATGTACCACACCACCACATGTAGTGCTAACTGTACTTTTAAACCTCATTAGGACCATATCCTGAATATATGATTCTTAGATATCCTACCTTAAAGAGTCAAAATTTTCTCAATCAGAATACATCTCTAAAATACACAGGATTTATACCAATATATACTTTAAACAGCTTTTCAGGAAAACATCTATATGGAAATGAAATAAAAATATAATGTTGCCATATGCTCTTGTACAAAAAATTTCAAGGCAGGATATATACCACACACACACACACACACACACACACACACAGTCAGCTAATACTCAAATATTACCTGAAGTGTGTATTTTCACACTTTGCAGCACCTTAACTTCTGACTACTTAAAACTCAGTGAATGTCTTCCAAAAACAAACGGGGTTGACAAACAATGGCTATGGGTCACATGGAGGTACAGCCTGTTCTTAGAAATAAAATTTTATTGTAATACAGCCCCAACATATTTTTCTATGGCTCTTTTAAATCAGTTATCATGCTACAGATTGCAGAGTCCAGTTGTTATGAAATGAGATTATATGGTCCACAAAGCCTACATAGTAACTATTTGGTTGTGTACAGAAAAAGTCTTGTCAATCCCGGTCTTAAAACAATCACAACAATCTGACAAATGTATCTGGCCTGGAATGAAATGCTGAATATAATGCAAGATTCAATGAATTCTTTCCCCAAATATCCAAGTACAAGACCAAACAGAAGCAAGCCTCTGCTAATTCATTTCAAAATCACATAACTGCCAATCTTGAATAAAAATTAAACTTCAAAAGCAAATAGTGAACTTACCCCTCTTAATTTCTTAAAAACTGTTACTACACTGAAGTCAACATGTAAATTCCCTGTGCCTCCACTGTCACCAATTTATTTACCCATCACCAGCAACCATATTAGTTACTCCTTTACTCCTTACTCTGGCACTCTAGAACCCACACACATCCAGCCAATAAACTAAGCAGATCAGTGTCTTTGTAAAAATTTATTTGCACCTTTCACGACAGAATGATAGTAAATAAAGCATTCAAAATCTATTCCTGATGTATTTATTTAGCCTTTTCTGAGATTACTAGACAAGCACAGAAAAATCCCAGAGCTCAGATGGGTGGAATGGACCTACAGTCCCAGAGCTGAAGGACTGCTTGAACCCAATCACTGAAAACGTAGCCTGGGCAACATAGAGAAATCCTCTCTAAATGAATAAATACCTAAAAATAAAAAATTCAAAGCTACTATATGGGTCATATAAAATAATCCCATCCAAGAAAGGTGTTAGATGTATTTGCTGTTCTTAGAATGAGAATATTAAATAAGCAACACTAATTGATTTTATCAACCAATTCAACAATAAAACCTGCCTTAAGTATTCTAGGTATCAAACAGTTTTTATTTGGTTTTAATTTTAGCTATACTCTTATAACTGACATTGTAAAGGGCTAGGGTTTAGAAAACAACACATTATTAATAAGAACTAATATGTATTAACTTTTTTTTATGGTTGTATCTGCCCTTTTATTTTACTTTGAAACAATGTCTAGCCTATTTGCCCAGGCTGGCCTACAACTGGGAATTCTCCTTCCTCAGCCTCCGAGTAGCTGGTAATACAAGTATGTGCCACATGCCCAGCTTTAACATGCCCTAATACCCTAATATTTTTATTAACTGTAAGTTATGCTTAAGTAAAAAGTTTACCAAATTATCTGGGATAATATTTTTACTGTGTGTGGGTGCGTGTATGTGTTGTGGAGGATGAAACCCAAGGCCTTGTGCATGCTACTCAAGCACTCTACCAGAGCTATATCACCAGTTCTTTACATATCATTATCATAACTGAATCAATATCATACAAAACTAATACCAAAAAAAAACCCTTTAAATCATTTATTTACCAATTACTTTTCTCCAGTTGATAAAGGAGAGAATGCAAATTTCTAAATAAATACAATCAAAAAGACCCTGCATGATATATCTAAGGCATGTTTCTACCCCTAAGTGCTTAACCAAAGATGCATCAATAGCCTGGTACCCTTGACAATACCGATGTAGTCACAGGTTGAAAATTATTATGTTAACGTTAAGTTTATATTAAGCACTTAGCAAGGCCAACAGGATGCTGAAGTAATCACGGTGCAATTAAATGAGTGATTTTCTAGTTGCATACCATTTCCCTGCCCTTGTGAATCTCTTAGCTGTTCTGAATTAAAAGAAACCGGGAAAAAATATATTTTAGAGTACAATCAAGTGACAATCAGTTTACCAAAGATCACAAAATTTACATATCAGTCGTTTCCTGCTTTTTTTTTTTTTTTAAAAAAAAGAACAATCAGACTTTGATCCTCTTTTTTACTTGCAGAGTATTAGCAAAAGAAAGTCCTAAGGAACTACTGAACCTAAATCATATTCTCAAGGCTCAATTTTCTCATGAAGTTCATTTACGTGAACTACCAATTTATGTGAGCAAGAGGGGCAAATTAGTACCAGGCCTAGGACAACCACTGGACCTGATCTTTAGAAGGCATCCTGGCGAAAAAAACAGAAACCCCACCCAGTCCTCAACTTCCTTGGCTTTTCCAGTCCCGGTTTTCTCTCGGTAAAACCCAGAAAAGCAGAACTTCCCCCTCGCTGCCATCTGAGGCCTGGTGCAGAAATTCAGACCGCTAGCTATCCAAGTACCTCCTTAAGGTAGTCTTAAGGCTCAAGCCCGCTCACAGACAGTAGACAGTCTGCTTTCTTGGGTTAAAGGAGGGCGACTACAGGGTTTGGCGGCCGGGTTTGTCAGGAAGCGCAGGGCCGAGCGGGACTGAGAATCCAGAGGCTGAGCTCCATCGAGTCCCAGGAACCACCCCCAGGGGAGGCTTGGCTGCCTTCGGTACTTCCCTGCCTCCTCCGCTCGTGGGAGGAGAGCGCTAGGCTGGGGCCAGGTCCCCCTGAGCTACTTCCTGGACCCAGCGGACTCGCCTCCGGACACTCGAGACGCCCCCGGCCCGGCTCGCTCGCCCTTTGCCCCGTCTCCTCCCCTTCAGTGACCCACCACCACAGGTCCCCTCCCATCTAACATGGCCGCCCCACCCGGCCCACCCCCTGCACAGCCTAACCAATTGGGGGGCCCGTGGCACCGCCTCCCCTGTACCTATTGGTACGGAGTCCCCCTCCCGCCTTCCCCATTGGGCAACACCGGATGCCATTCAGCTCTGAGAGCTCCGCCTCCGAGCCGCTACAAGCTGCTTTGAGAAGACATATAAACAAATCCCGAGAGGGAGGCCCAGCTCTCCTGTCGCCTCTGGGGCGGGGACGGAAGGGGGTGCGGCCACCCCCGAAACACCCCTGCCAGGACCCCCCACCCCAGCCCGCGCCTCCTCGTCTCCTGCCAGCTGGGCTCCAACCTCCGCGGCCCGGCCCTTCCCCACACGCCCCTCTCCTCCTCCCCCGCCAGCGTCGCCTCCCTCCCCTCCCAGCCCCTCCCACCCGCTCGCTGCTCTGACAGGCCGGTTGCCGGCAGCCGTGGCCCGGGGCTCCGAGACAGCGGAGAAGGACCCGGCGGACCCCCGGCGTTGCCCACCCCTGGCCTAGCCTGCCGCCCGCCCGCGGGTCCCATCCACCGCTGCCCCGCGCTTTTATGTAACCGTCCCGGGCCAGAGTGGGGGAGGGGAGCTGAGCCCCCGTGACCAGCAGGCGGCCGCCCGCGCTCCGCGCGCCCTCAGCCCGAGCCCCGGTCCCCGCCCCGCGCCGGCCCGGCCCAGAGCCCCGGCGCTACTGCCTCCTAGGCCAGCGGCCCTCCTCCGCCCCCCGGCCGGTCCCCCAGCCCAGAGCCCTACGAGCCCCGGACGGCGGGCAGCGGCACTTACCTGTAAGTGAGGGGGCCGCTCAGGGGCTGAGTCCGGTTCCACTGCAGGGGCCGCGGCCCCTCTCCATGCTGCCTCGGGTTTGTTTTGTTTATGTCCTTCCTGACGGGTTCCCGGAAATCGCGTGACTCGCCCCCCTCACGTGGGCCGCGGCGAGGAGGAGGAGGGAGGCGGAGGCCCGCCGGCCTCCGGCCAATCGCAAGGCGTTCTGAAGCTCGGCCAATCAGGGACGCGGCCCGGCCGGGCACCCCTGTCACGTGATGCCGGAGGGGCGGGTTGCCGGGGAAAACCAGGAAGAGCGGGTGTAGCGGGGGCTGGTACTTGTAGCTGCAGCGTGGGCGTGGGTCGTCGCCGGTGTGAGTCACGCTCTCACGTTCTTAGAGGATGTGCCTTTTTCAGAAGCTTTCCTCCCCAGCGTTTTATCCGATTGCAAAACTACGCAGCGGGGCCTGAAGTGTCTGTTCGCGCATTTTACAGTTTTAGTTGTCCGAAACTTGAAGGGTTAAGGGAACATCGACGTTTTATGAGTGGCCTCCCCATTCTCCCAAAGACTGACCTTGCCTTCAGTTCGTTCATTGATTCACGGATTCAACTCACATTTATTGAGCAAGTATCCCCAGACCCAGGGATCAGCTTGACTGAGTGCACTTTAATAAGAGAGAACCATACACAACTGTACAAACAATACACATTCCAATTTTCCACAGCAACTGAAGTTTAAAATCAAAACCTGAATTGAAGAACTAGTTTGGGAAGTTTGAGCCAGGTTCTCTGACTTGTTCACATGATTCTTGCATTAAACCTCCATGGAGGGCTGGAGATTTAGCTCAGTCATAAAGCACTTGCTTAGCAAGTGTGAAGCCTTGGGTTCAATTCCCAGTTCTGAAAAAAAATCTCTCTTTATGGACTACATCACTGACTGTCCTCTCTCCTGTTACTACAGCTGGAAAAGCTTCAGCAGATGGCTCACTCTTCCCTTGCAACACTCCCCTGTAGACACTGCCTTTGCACCTTGGTTGCCATGGAAAGGACAGAGCTCAAGGAGACCTTTCCATCAAGGTTTGTTAATGACTGTTGCTTGCTCTGAAGTGAATGAAATCACGGCTCCTAATTGATTTGTGTTTCTCTGGGTTTTATCCAATCAGATTCTACCACAGTTAAAGTTGGCAGGAACTTGGGACTCTGGGACAACATTGGCTTGAGGTTCAGGAGGCTCCTCTTGTTCTAGCCACAAAGTGTAACCAACTGGCGTTGCCACTTCCACCTTGCTCCTGGGGAATCATTTACACACTGGAGTAACCTGAGTCAGAAAGCCATGCTTTACACCATTATGAGATAATGGGGAAAACAGAGCAGTGGAGACTTAGGGTGTCATCGAGTTCTTTAAAAATATATTTATTTTTTGATTAGGTAACACATTTATGGTACAAAATTCTAAAACATATTAAGTGGATATTAAGTCTCCCTCCTCCCAATGTTTCTTGCCACTCATTTTCCCTTCCCAGTTACCACCCTCTGGGAATCTTTCCAGATATTCTCTGGATATGGAAAATTTCATTCACTTTAAACCTTGATGTGTGGGAGACTGAGACAGGTGGATTGCTTGAGCCTGGGGATTCAAGGCCAGCCTAGGCAACATAACAAGACCGGCTCTCAAAAATAAAATAAACCTTGATGAGTTTGGAAGACTGCTCTTGGAGCCATGACCTGATTTGAGCTCTGTCACTGTAAGATGCCCTCTTCTCCATGAGGAATCTGGACTAGAACTAGATGTTCTTGAAGATCCTTCTAGCTTTATCAGTGACCCTACATCTTTAAAGACCCTACATCTTGAAACAGTTGCTGGGCATGCAGTACAGCTGGGAGCTTCAGAGCCGCAGGGGAAGCAGTTAAGGGAAGTCTAAAACTCAGGCCTTGCAAAAAAAAATTAAATCTTAAAAAAAAAAAAAAAAAGTTGCCACAGGTCCTCACTTTCCTATGGCTGAGTCCGCAGTGTCTAAGTCCTAATTAAAGCCGCCTGGGCCTGCCTGCTGGTTCTAGACAAGCTTTTCAAGTGAGTGTCACCTCTCTGGGCCTGTTTTCTTTCCAGACCCCTCTGGACCTGTGTGATATGTTCAGATTTCACAGCTTCAGAAGTGAGATTAATTAACTCGAAGCTGGAAGATCTGCAGGAAAAGCTGTATCCCTCTGACACTAAACACGGAGCTTCTTCCTGAGAAGAAGGGACTATTGCTGAGGGTGAACGTAAAAGAGACTCATTGACTGTCGCCCATTGGCACCCATCCCTCATTCATCTCACCCAAAAAATGTTCTTTGGAGGAAGAAGAAAAAATTCTTCTTCTGATCACTCAGTAGAACAGTGTTCTTTATGTGACAGGTCTGAGCCTCGGATTCTGGGGCTTTTTTTTTTTTTTTTTTTTTTTGATACTGGGGCATTTTATCACTGAGCTATATCCTGGCCCTTTTTAAAATTTTTTTTAATATTTATTTTTTAGTTTTAGGTGGAAACAATATCTTTACATTTATGTGGTGCTGGGGATCAAACCCAGTGCCTCCTGCATGCCAGCACTCTACCACTGAGCAACACCCCAACCCCCTGGCCTTTTTATTTTTTGAGATAGTGTCTTGCTATGTTGTGATCCTCCTGCCTGAAGCTCCCGAGGTGCTGGGATAGCAGACATGTGCCACCATGCCTGACAAGCCTCGGTTTCTTTTCCCAGAAAGCACCAGATTCAGTCCCAAGGACCCTTCCCTAGTGTATCACTTATTAAGAATTTCTCAACACCCCACCTCATCCCCCAGCACCAAGCCTGCCATGGGATAGAAGCAGGCTGTGGTGTAAAGATAAAGATCCAAATCCTGTTCCCTTGGTGGCTCAAGATCCCTCTCTTTCATAGAATCTGGTTCCACCATGTCTGCTGCTTGCTTGTTTGGCAGGGGAGGAAGGGGTATTGGGGATTGAACCGTGGAGTTCTTTTTTTTTTTTTAAATTTTTTAAATTTTCAGATAGGGTCTTACTAAATGCCCAGGCTGCCCTCAGATTTGCAATCCTCCTGCCTCAGCCTCCTGCATTGCTGGGATTAGAGGTGTGCGGTCCCTAATGTGTACATAGGTCCCTAATGAAGACATAGTCCTTGCACTAAAGGAACTGAGAACCCAGTGAGGGAGACTGACATGGAACCTGACCACATGACAGAGTTCATAAGAAGGGCGCTTGGTGCCTTAGAAGTGGGACACGTGTATTTCAGTGCCACTTCCCTGCTAGCTTGAGTAAGTTGCAAGTCTGCCTGATCCTTAATTCTGATCTAGCTTGCATCACAGGTTGATTTTGAAGATTAAATCACTGCTTGGGGCATAAGAGATGCCCCGTCCTCCACTTTCCAGGGAGGAATGTGACTGGGAGCTTCTCAAAGAGAAGCAGCCAAGGGACAGCATGGCCAGAAGTCAGAAGGCCACTTAACGTCCTGTCATCTTCCAAAACCGTTTAGGCTCTTTTGCTGACCAAAAAACTTGTCCAATGCCAAATCGTGTCTGGTTTGGGGTTTTTGAGCTTTGCTCTGTTTTCGTGAGCTGGGCTGACGCTCACAGTCAGTATCAGCAGCTATAACTGATAGCAAACCAGGAAGCCAGGCAGGGGAACAATCCAGTGTTTGTTATAGGAAAGACTCCCAGAGGACAGGTACAAACAATAAGACATTCTGTGGTGAGGCCAGAAGTAGGGTGATAAAAAGAGAAAGTGGAGGGATGGTGATAAGCAGCAGGAACCAAGACCTGCAGCCTGATAACAGCTTATTGAACTGCAATGGGCAGCACAGGACAGAGCCCAAGGCTGTGCGGCTGGACTCCCAAGGGCAGGAGGCAAGTCCTGAGAGGTTGCTAAAGGAAAGAAGTAGGAAAAAGTTAGGGGTCGATGCGACCAGTCGTTTGTTTTTTTTTGTTGTTTTTTTTTTTAACCTGCAAATTCACAAAATCATAAGTGTCCCTCAGGATACAGGAAGACCCAGGACTATTACCACCTGTTTTTTAATTTTAGTTTTCATCTCGTTTTCCCAAAGCCCAGGCTTTGAGATGAGTCGTGGGAAATGAATGTTTTAGAACATTCCAGAGTTACAACAGTGAGCCATAAAGCGATCAGCAGACTTGAGTGCCAGCAGCAGGTTCTGTCCTGTGCTGAGAGGCAGCACCTGCAGTCTCACTGTGTCACTTCCCAAAGGACCCCAAGACTCCTGTGGGGCAGCCCGCCTTGCCATACAGACCCCAAGAGAGCACATCCTGTCATGCAGATCAAAGCCAGGCTCTGGCTCCAGGAGCTTGGTGCCCGGGCTACAACCAACAGTCAGTCCCATGTGAGGGGACACTTGTCCACCCACCTAATAACCTCGTCCCAAAAGAGGCAAGAGGGGAAGCCTCCCCTGGGAAAACTGGGAGATAGTGAAGGAAACTACAGGGGATCAGGGGGATTAGAACAAAGTAGGGACAGCTGTCCCCTCCTCCTAACAGAGGGAGTGATGAGAGGGTCAGGCTCCTGTAAAGGCCATGGGCGGGGGCACCCAGTGGGTGGTTTTCTCCTCTTCTCCCTGGTAGAGGACAGGGGAGTTGGGACTAGCAGAAAGCAGAGGTGCACAGTGCCCTTCCTTGTCCCACCCCAACCCCACTGATGTCTGGCAATGCTAATGGCATCACATGCCAGGGGCTGGGCACCAGGTAAGCACTAGATCGTTAGCTACTGTTGTTATTAAGAGGCCCTGGGGCTGGGGTTGTGGCTCAAAGGAAAGAGCGCTCGCCTAAGCATGCCATCTGTGAAGCACTAGTTCAATCCTCAGCACCACATAAAAATAAAACAAAAAGGTATTGTATCTACCTACAACAAAAAAGATTTTTTTTAAAAAAAGGCTCTGAACTTTTCTATGGGCCTGAGGAAAGCCAAAGACTTGCTCCCCTGAAAAAACACAAGTATGCATGTGTTATATCTGGATCTGAAAACATCCCCGAAGGCTCATAAAGGCTTGGTCCCCAGTGCAGCAAGTTTCAGAGGTGGGGCTCTGGGGAAGTGATAGGATCATGAGGACATTGCTCACCTGTGGATTAATCCATTGATAAACAGATGGAAGTAGGTACTATGGCACAAACCTGTAATACCAGTCACTCAGGAGGCTGAGGCAGGAGGATCTGAACTATGAGGTTGACCTCAGCAATTTAGTGAGACCCTGTCTCAAAACAATAAGAAGGGCTGAGGATGCAATTCAGTGGTAGAGTACCCCTGGGTTCAACACCCAGTACCACAAAAACAAAAACAGTACAAAATGGGGGAGATTATTCTCTGGTGTTTAGCATCAGATGCAGGTCCTACCTCTTGCATCTCCACAATTGTGAGCCAAAATGATTATCTTTTCTTTATAAAGTAGACTGCCTCAGGTATCTTGCTGCAGTCATGAAAAGGGAACTAAAATACCTGGTGAAAGGGCAGCAAAACCTTTGGAACAAGAGGGAACTTGATGTATTGTTAACCCGCTTTTCTAACTATAAAAAAGGAGTGTGTCCTACTTACCTCATAGGATAATGTAAATAGGCACTTGGTAGCGGGAGGTGAGGGCAGTGCCCACAGCTACCCAAGCCATGGTTGTTAAGGTGACTGTCCCTCAAACTCCTCCTCTTCCTCTGCCCACCTCTTAGGAGTGAGTGTTCCCCACTGGTCTCCTTATCCACACACAGCTTCAGCTGTCTTGGTGTCCCCCACTCCCCTCTCCAGCCAGGTCCTTCTTAACCTCCAGGCCCTCAGAACAGCTGCCCACTGGTATCTTCTGGTGTGGGTGTTGTCACACCTGGACTCCACGTCTACCCTTCAGGGAGCCTGGGTGTAATTTTTTCATGTCTCCCTGTCCCTTAGCCCCCCACCCCACATCCAGAAGGTCATTGAAGTTTATCTGTATGTGCTAATAAATGTGGCCCCAAGATAGATACTTCTGTTCAGGACACAGCTGAGGACACTTGCCTCTCCTGGACTCTGCAACTTCCTCCCTGGTCGGTGTCCAGCACATCAGCCGCACCCTTGCCAGGCTTCCTGGTCCTGCAGGTTTACTCTTAAAGGTCATTCTGTGCAAATCCTCCCCTCCTGCCTAGCAACCTGTATTTCTCTAAGATGCCGCGCTGCGGGGGGCCAGCCAGCTCCGCGTAAAGGCCAAACACTATCCCTGCCATTGGTCAAACTCCCTGGGACCACACATCCCAGCCCTGCCCCGCGGCAATCTAGGGCTTTTGAGAAGCACCGGTGCGGTGCGGTGCGGTTGGCTGGCACCAGCCCCACCTCCAGGTGACCACGCCAGCTGCTCTGAACCACACCCAACCCCGCCGCTGGCCCCTGATCATTATTGTGTTCTCTTTTCCGCGAGGCCAGGGACCCAGTCTCCGCTGCTCCCCCTAGTTTAAGCAGGTGACCCACACAACAGAGGCTGCAGACCCCTCCTGAGTGTTGTGGACAGCATTCGGGGCTTGGAGAACCAGCCCGGCTTAGCTTGCGAAGTCCTGCTTCCTCCCGGGCCGCCTAGCAGGACAGGCTGTCTGCACATTCTGTGTCGGGCTGGCAGCTCGCGAGCGCCAACGAGAACCGCACGTGCAGCGACGGCGCTCTAGACAGTCTCCCGGGGCCCTGGCTGGGCTGGGACCGGCTGCAACAGAAGCAGCGACAACGCAGCCTGAATGAAGAACTGGCTCTCGCCCTTGGCGGGGAAGGACAGTGGGGCTTTCTCTAGCCCGTGAGACCCGGCCTCCCCTCTCCCACACGGTTGGGTCCCAGTTAAGGCTCCCTTTCATCGCCCCAGGCTGTCTGTCGCTGCGAGCACCTATGCGGCAGGCAGCAGCGACCCAGCCACCCCCTCCCCGGTTCCATATTCAGAACCCCTCAGTGTCTGACTGCATGTCCTCAGATCTCCAGAGCTCAGTTGCGGGAAGGCTGCGAACTAGATGTTCTCCCGACGGTCCCCTAAAAAACACTCCTCCTCCTCCTGTGAAAAAACACGTGCGCTTGTGGAAAACACACAAAATCAAAAAATAAATAATTACATCCAACATTTTGGACTATTTCATACCAAGCTTTTTCTCTGCATACAGAAGTTTAAAGTCCCGGGTCTTTCCCCTTAATATAATATTCTCTTTTGTTATTACAGTAACTTTCATTGTTTCTTTTTATTTAACTGTAACATTTTCATTTGAGAATATGCTGAAAAGGAAAAGGGAAATTAAAATCATTTATAATTACCACCCAGAGGCAAAATCAGTTTTGTTCTTTTTGATTTCTTCTCTAGATGTATACTTCAGAACATTTGAGATTCCTTCAGCTGGGTGCAGAAGCATGACTGTAAACATGCTGCCTTAGCTGCTGCCACCAACGTCCTTCACACTGCTATTCTACCTTGTGTTTCCTTTGACAATTAGGAATCTTCTACAATCACAGCCACTCAACTAGAAAACCTGACAAAGGGGCAGGGGAAGGCAATGAATAAGCTTCTGCTCAGGGCCACATCTCCACTTCAAATACATGAATTCCCCCAGCAGAAGACAGCTCTGGCACTGGGGGATGGGATGAGGAAACAATTCTAAAATGCCTAGATACATATCTTTAAATATAATTAAGATTTCACTAAATAAAGGAGCAGTTGACTCTTTTTAAATTTTTAGAAGATGAAATCCAAGGCTGAATGCTCCATTAGTCTGAGCAACAATTTAATATCTCATTTCTAATTTGCCTTGTATGGCCAAACACCTTCTATTGCTAAAAAACTGGATAAATGCCAGATGCAGTAGGAGGCTGAGGCAGGAGGATCACACATTCATAGCCAGCCTGGACAACTTAGCAGGACCTTGTCTCAACAAAATAAAAAAAGGGACTGGGGTAAAAGTCAGCAGTATAGTGCTTGCCTAGCATGTACGTGGCCCCAGGTTCCACCCCAGCTCTCCAAACAACAAAACACTCTAAGAAACCAATCGGTCCTCAGACTCCATCTTCCCACATGTGCCAGCAGCACCTTGTCCTGGTGTTAAGAGCTGGCAGCACCCAGAGGCAGGAAGGGTGTGGTCCACTGTGCTCTCTCTCACTCAGCCCAGGCCTGGGTCCTGGTACAGGTGCCTTTTTTCTTTTTCTCTAAGTACAAATGATTAATCAAAGAGAAGCCAAAATAGGAAGAAAAAAATCAGTTGGCTGTCCCTCTGGGTCCTCTTAAAAGAAAAATAGCAAAGAACCTTGAGGGTTTGGGTCATTTCTTTGGAAAATACACTTAATTTACAAATCATCTTCACATACTTCATCTGGTAAACACTGAGGACCAGAAAGCAAACTATGTGCCCAAAGTGACATAAATAGCAAGCAATGGAGTTAAATTGCAAGCCTGGGACTCCTAGCCTTATGACAGTCCCCGAGGCCATGCACACTCGCCTAGGTTTGCGGGGAGAGGGGCATTTTCCATGTCTCTCAAAAGGCTAATGAAGCTCTTCCCCAGCTGGGTCTTGGCAAGCACTACAGCAAGGGATTCATAGCCATCAACTCAAACTCTGCGCCGGGTCAGGTCCTGACAAGGTAGTTCCAATATTGGGAGTGAGGTGAAAGAGGGCATAGCCTGAGTTTGCATGTCAATAGCATTTAATCTTATCAAGAATTTCATGGACTGGGGTGTAGTTCAATAGTAGAACATGCACGAGGCCCCGGCTCAAATCCCTGCATTGAAAAAAAAAATTTCATAAACGAGGAAACTGAGGCTCAAGGGTAAAGTGACTTCTTGGGCGAAGGGAACTTATCAAGTTTCCCCTCAAAAACCCAGTGGAAGCCATCGTGCCCTCATTTCAACAGCAGCAATGAGGCTGGGTGATGGCTAGTCCTGGCCTCGAGGAGCTTGCAGTCAATCTTTCTGAGAGGTCTGTGATCCAGTCTGGCTGGGAAGGGAACCCTTTTCTTCTTCCAGGCAGTGGTGGGCTCCTGCTTTCTGCGGCACCCACGGGGCCTCCGCAGGGTCCGGAGAGTTTGCTGGGTCCACAGCAGAATCTCACTGATGGACCAGGCCTGTTGCCCACTGTTATCAGAGCAGGCAACACGCTCATCTTCCTCGGCTAGCCACCAAGAGAAAATGAACGAGCAACATCATCCAGTTCACTTCCCAACAGCCAATTAGAGCAGTGAGAAGAGTGCAATAGATCAATAAAAAGTGACAGCAGACAGGGTTGTAAACTCTGCTCTCAGTTGTGCCACTGAACCAAAAATGTGCCAAACCATCGTCACCAACGAGAGGGGCCCCAGAGCTGCCCCCTCACTGCTGCAAGGCCTGTTACAGCTCAGGTCCTGGGCACTGGGCCCTGGTAGGCTCCACATCAGTGAGCGCCCTGTGCTAAGCTCAAGACAGGCAAATGCCACACTCAAGGGAAGTACCATTACACCGCAGCCATCGTGACACTCAGTTTGGAAAAAACCTGCAAGAAAACCCTGCAAAGCTGACCACGGTGGTGCATGCTGAGGCAGGGCGATGGCTTGAGCCCCGCCAGGACAACATAACAAGACCTTGTTCCCAAAACAGACAACTACTCACTGTGGTGTTGTGAAAACCCTTCTGATGGGAGACAGCGTGTCTTCAGCACGGCAGGATTCTTCCCTCTCCACTAGAGACCCAGAGTTGGCCCCTGGGCAGGCAGGGTGTCAGTGAAAAGCACTGCAGAGGGGAAATCAAAACCCGGATCCTGCTCCCCAGGCCGCCTGAACCAGCTGCACTAACCAGGCAAGTCAATCCTCTGCCTGGGCTCAGAGTCCTTATCTACAAAACACCAGGGCACACCTGGCCCTCAGCTTCAGATGCTCAGTGTTTCATGAATTCCATGGAGTTAGCTAAAGGGCTGAAATGCTAAGTGTGAACTGCCTGACTTCAAAAAACCTCTGAGTGCTGGGGGGGACCCAGGGCTTCGCTCATGCCAGGCATGTGCGCTACCCCTGAGCCCCAGCCCAGCCCAGCTTTCAGGAGAACTTAGGGCTCAAAATGAAAGTAAAGGATGAAAAGAAAGAAATGAAAGCAGGGAGACATTTCAACTTGAAACCCTCTTGGTCTTAGAACAGCAAAGTAATGAGTTCAGATAGTTCGGGAGGAATAGAAAAGTACAAACTGCAAAACAGGAAACCCATTCTTGGCTGGCTGTCAAAAAGCCATGTACTGGTGAAAATTGAAATCTATTTTAATTTGTAGTTTCTTAAAACTAATAGATCTGGGGCTGGGGTTGTGGCTCAGTGGTAGAACGCTTGCCTAGCACACATGAGGCACTGGGTTCAAACCTCAGCACCACATAAAAATGAAAATAAAGATATTGTGTCCATCTACAACTAAAAAATAAAAACTAATAGAGCTGCCAAATTAGTGAACTACTGAGACACCTGCCACTGAACACAGCCTTGTTATTCTCTGACCAGGGTTGAGCCCCTCGATTTCTTCAGCCCTGTGTCTGAGGCTAAGGCAGGCACTGCCGTGCCGGCTGATATTTGAGCCCCATGCATGCTGACCGTCTCTCTGCACAGAGCCATCAGCTTTTGAACTCACAGGGTCCCCAGTTTAAACATCTTCGGTTTCTCCAGTGCCTCGCCCATGGTGCTCCCAACGGTTACTGAATGATGAAGAAAAGTGCCTACCATCTCTTCAGGTGCCTCAAACTATGCGGCAGGGATTATACCTCCAACCTAAGTTTACACAACAAAAGCATTTTTTAAAAAGGCACTTTCTAGAGAAAAAAGAGCTTAGAAAAATGAGCTTTATAAGCACTGAAGCCGGATTCTATAGAAAGCAGAAAAATAATTTATTCCAAAAGATGGCAGAAGTAAGAAACTCATCCTGAAGGCACAGCTTGGTGTCAATCTGCTGGGACAGCTCTCCCCTCTGAGTACGCTCTCCTCCTCACGGCCCTGCAGGAGCCGCACGCATCCTGCCGCAGTGCTGTGTGCAGGCAGGAGCTCTCCGCATCTGCAGATGCCAGGCGAGAGGAGCTTTCCCAGGAGAAGAGCACAGGCAACCAGCTCAGTTGGTAGGCACTTCGTTCATCAGAGTGTAAAAAAGTGAAGGAGAAAATACTGCACTGCAGGGCAGGGCTTCAGGGGTGTTGAGAAGGGGCACAGACGCCCAGAGAGGCGAGTCCAAGAAGGCGATCTGGGTGTGGAGGCGATCCGCAGCTAGGAGGCATTCTCCTCACCACCTGCAAAACACAATTGTTCCAGTAACTAGTCCCCAACCTTCCTCCGGAGAGCAAAACCAACGTCAAGAAAGTTAATCAGGCAAATGCTTTAAAACAGGCAGGTGCTCAAAAAGTCCTTCAACAGAGCAGGCGCAATCACCATGCAAGGTGTGGGCAGGTTTTGCAGGGCTGGGGTAAAGCTCCTATTACCAAGGACACTGCTGAACTGTCACAGCGCACAGTAAGTCTGACTATGTTACAGAAAGCAGGAAGCATGAAGCCAAGACCAACAGTACTGGGGTCCAATGGGTTCTTCAGGGTCGCAAGCGCCAGAGCGCCTGTGTTCTCCCCTCCCCTCTCATAGGTTCAAAGCTCTCCTCCAGTGGCCACTCCCCAGGAACAGGCTCCATGTCCTGTCCTCAGGACTCCAGGTGGCCTTCCAGGTTGCTCCCTATTCTGACTACCACAAGCAAGCATAGGAGAAAAATGAGTCTCTCTTTCTAGTATGGTAACTGCAATACCACCCTTGCAAAGCTGGAAAATACATAAAGAAAGCATCTTCACAGAGTCAACTGCCTACAGTGCTTGCACAACGCCTCCATAGAAAGTCTCTGTTGGGCGGGGCTGTAGCTCAGTGCTGGAGCGCTTGCCCAGCATGCGGGAGGCCCTTGGTTTGTCCCCAGCACTGCAAAGAAAAGTCTGTTCTGATGTCTATATAAATAAAGCCCCTTGCCGGGTGCAGTGGCACATATCTATAATCCCAGCAGCCGGGAGGCTGAGACAGGAAGATTGCGAGTTCAAAGCCAGCCTCAGCAAAAGCAAGGCACTAAGCAACTCAGTGAGACCCTGTCTCTAAATAAAATACAAAATAGGGCTGGGGATGCAGCTAGTGGGCAAGTGCCCATGAGTTCAATCCCCAGTACCCCCCAAAAAAAATAAATAAATAAAAAATAAAGCCACTTATGCTACTTTTGAAATTAAAAAGGCAATAAAGAAACAAAAATTTAATCATTGCTGCTGCCTTTTTTTGGGTACTGAGGACTGAACCTAGTAACTTGGGAAGCCAAGGAAGGAGGATCACAAGTTTGAGACCACTTGGGCAACTTAGTGATGTGTCTCCAAAAAAAAAAAAAAAAAAAGAGGTGGGAATGGAGATATGGCTCAGTAATAGAATAGAGCCTCACTGGGTTCAATCCCTAGTACTGCCAGAGACAGAACAGAAAGAAGAAATCAAGCTGGCTATGGCACACAATGTGCCTAAGTGTGAAAACTGTGGGGGCGAAGTGCTCATGGGTGTGAGTGGCAGGGATGCTTGTTGAATTCGTTCAACACACAGTCATCAGGCAGGTCTGACAAGGCTGACGGTCACAGACAAGCAGCAACACCTGATGGGCTTAGATCTTCCAACTAGTGAAACCACAGAGAACCCACAGTGCAGCGTGGTAAACCTAGAACCCAAGTTACCCAGGACTATAGGACTATAAATTGCTCTTCTGGAGCAAGCTAGCTGGAGTCCCACTAAGGTAGGACACGTGGACAAAGCACATTCAACCCACGGTTAATAGAGGAGCTGGGGTGTGGCTCAGTGGTGGGGCGAAGAAAAAATAATGACTAGAAGCTTTTTTACAATGCACTAGGAAAAGGACACCAGGCCAAGGAGTGGCAATGACCAGGAAATGACCAGGGTGATGTGGCTTTCGTGGTCTGAAGGCCTCAGAAAACCTGTTGCTCTAATAATCGTTCTGTGTTCCCCTCCCTGGGCAAGCAGAACAGGCCCTGGGTGAGCCCCGGTGCAGGCAGAATGCAAGCTCCCCCGGGGAACCTCGAGTAGGGAACCCTGAATAGGGAACGAGTCGCTGTGTGCGACTTCCCATGAAGAGCACACTGAACAGACTTCCTCAGTGCTGAGGCCATTTGTGACAAAAGACAATCACAAGGGACAACACAGGCCCTCACTTCTGGGAAACCTCACACAATGGGTTAAGTGCCACTCGATCTCACGATACCAGTTTGAAATCAATGCAAGCATTGTGCTCAAAAGCACTATCTTACGGTTTGATTTTTGGAGTTAGTGAAGGACACACAGAATCTCCTGTCCTATGACATAGCTGTTTGGGGTGTGGCTGGAGAACTCAAAGGGTTCACATTCTCATCTCAAAAGCAAGGGACTAGCTAGGTGAACATCAGATAAAACTGAAAGACAAGAGGACCATCATGACCAGATCCAAGAAACCTGTTCAGCCCGTCCAATGGTCGACTGAGGCCAGAGGACTCCACCACTGAGCCATACCCCAGCCCTTTCACTTTATTTATTAACTTGGTATTGGGGACTGAACCCAAGGGTTCTTTACCACTGAGCTATATCCCAGCCCTTCTTATTTTTTGAGACAGGGTCTCACTAATTGTCCAGGCTGGCCTTGAACTTGTGATCCTCCTGCCTTAGTCTCCAGAGTTGCTGAGATTACAGGCATGTGCCACCACACTCGGTGTGAATGTATTTCTTAAAAGATAAGTACGTTAGGTTTAATTTTAATTTTTTCCTTTTAGATAAATTTGCAAAAGAAGTCCTTGTGTACGATGGTGTGTAAAGTGTGTCTTACAGGTGACAACAAGAGAAAAGCAAACCACAGGTACAGATTTACCAGTCCAAGGCCATGGGCTCAAAACTGAAGAGCTGAATACATTTAGGGATCAAAGCAAGCACTCTGAAACCAGGTGGCCCCGAAAGAAGTGTGAGGATTTGGGGTGCGCACACTAAGAAGACACCAGAAGCACCGAGGCAGAGAGCGGAGGCGAGAGCTCGAGGGGTGCCCAGAGGAGTGGTTCCTAATCTGCTTCTGAGGTTGGTGTAGGACTTGGAGGCAGGAAGGCTAAGTAAAGCTAACTAGGTCAAAAACACAAAAATAGTCACATCGACCCTCGGTCACAGCCGGAAGCAGTGAGAAGAAAGGACATGAAGGTGGTTTCAGGGCAGACAGGAAGGCCTTGCCGGCCAAGCCAGAGCGCTGGACGAACTAGCAGATTAGACATTCCTATCGCTTGTGGCTCACAGGACCTTTGGTGACCCTGACAAATACTGTTTACTGAGATTTTACACTGCATTTCTAGGGGCATGTGGCACTAAAATCAGGGACCCCGGGTTAAAAAAGCAATAACAACCCCTAGCTGTTCAGAGAGAAGCACAGCAAGTTTCTGGGGCAAGCAGTGACATGTCTCAGGCAGCGCTCCACTGGCAGGACCGGTGGGCTACTCTGAGGCAGTATTTCAGAGACAGGGAGACCAGGTGAGGGCCACTGTCGTGGTTCCCAGATGCACTGATCTAGGTCAGAAATTAGGGTGGCTGGGGGAGTGGGCAGCAGATCAGAAGCATGACAAGAGCGGCTGTCCCTGTGCAAGAGGAGAAAGGAGTGACGGGACAGGTCCATCCCCGAGTACAGAGGGAAATGAAGAATGGCAGATTATCTGCTAGAGAGGATGGAGTACCAGAAGACTGGAGCCATGAGACACCCTGCACCCTTCAGCACGCCCCAGGTGTGGCTCAAGTTCCACCTCCCAACACATCGCTTGCCCTTCGGCACCCACGGCCTTCTCTGAAACCTTTGCTCAGTATCACACCTCAGTGCACCCAAACATTTTTGGAATGTACAGAAAAACAGCTCCCACAGGGTAGAGGCCTTGCTACCATCACCCTCTATTCCTCTCTCATCCTAGGCTTTAGGGTAAAGCCTCTGCCCTGTAGGATCATGGTACAGCATAAGACAGTGTGTAGTAGCCCAGCTAACTTCCAGGACACTGGATCTGAACCCCAAGGCTGAATGAGGTGTACAGCGTGAGGCTGCAACTTGACAACAGTCACAACCGTGGCTCTTTACTGGGATTGAACCCAGGGCACTCAACCACTGAGCCACATCCCCAGCCCTTTTTGATATTTTATTTAGAGACAGAGTCTTGCTAAGTTGCTGAGGGCCTCGCTGAGGGGTCCAGGAGGAGCAGACAAGGCTGGCGGTAGGCAGAGGTGCAGCGAACACTGCTCTCCTGAGGACTGAGCCACACTTCCAGCCCAGAAACAGAGCTCACCAATGACTGCGCTCAGCTCGGCACACAGGAAGGAAAACCATGACAAGCAACCCAAGTAGCAAAAAGTCAGTCAGGTGCTTCACAGGACGTGGTTCAGATTGACTCAGGTTCACCTGCGTGGAAGTCTTCTTGGGCTGGGAAGCAGCTCAGCAATAGAGACCCGTGGCTAGCATGTACAAGGCCCTGGGTCCAATCCCAGCACCAAACCAAAACCCAAACCAAAATATTCTAAAGCTTCCCTGATTGACCCTCATTTTTCTTTGAGAATACTATGTCTGGCTCATACCTACTTTCTAAACCTGGTCCCTTAGAGAAATCGTGTACCAAATCAAATCCCTCCTCATACTTATAAGTATCAACATTTCAAATCTAGTTTCTGTACTGTATCATCTTCCTGTTATGAAAAAGTTCAAAAGGTGAATAGAGTGCAATCTTTTTTTTTTAGTTGTCAATGAACCTTTATTTTATTTATCGATATGCGGTGCCGAGAATTGAATCCAGTGCCTCACACATGCTAGGCAAGCACTCTACCACTGAGCCACAATCTTTTGATTTTTACCACCAGGATAAGTAAGGGCCCATCTTCAGAGTTCTGTCTGTTTTAATGCTAAGCAGAGATAGCGCTTTTTTTTTTTTTCCTTCCTTTTTTCTTTTATTGAGATGGCGTCTGTGTTGCCCAGGTTGGTCTCAAACTCCTGGGCTCAGAGAATTTGCCTTCCTCAGCCTCCGTGAGTAGCTGAGACTAAAGGTATGTGCCCCCATGAGATTAGACTTCTTGATGTGATGATAACTCTGAAGTCCTAGAACTATGGAAATGTTGTAAAAGTGTTCAGTGAAGAAGAGGTATGATTCCATGCCCATCATACGGGACCTGAGGATGTGCTCTCGTGCTTCCTGGGACTTTGCTCTTAAAGGAATGACCTTCAATGCAAGGTTTCAAGCAGCCTGCACACATGTGTGGACCAGAGCGCAAATGCTAGGTGTGTGCCTGTCAATCAGCTTACCAGGTGCAGAGACAGAAAACACACACTCTTTAGATCTACCCACACAGGGTTATTCGGTATCAAAGGGTCCAATTCTCTTACTGGATAGGAAGCAAACGAAGCCTGCCATTCCCAGCTTTGAACCCCAACCAACAACCTCACCTAACATTTGCTCTAGTACAAAAGAATGGCTGACCAGGTACAGTGACGCACACCTGTAATCCCAGCAACCTGGGAGGTAGATGGCAAGTTCAAGGCCAGCCTGGACAATTTAGTGAGACCCTGTCTCAAAAAATGGCTGGGGATGTGGCTCAGTGGCAGAATGTCTGTGGGTTCAGTCACCAGTACTACACAGACACACACAAAGGATGTGTTGAAGATAGGGCAGGTAGGGGAAAAAAACACGAGTTAAATAAAATCATAAAAAAGGGGCTGAGGATGCAGCACACTGACAGGGTGCCCTGCTTACAATCCTGAGCACTACAAAGAAAGAAAAAGAAACCAAAATTCCTTTTGGCAAAGGTAAAGCTAAGTGGGGAGAAAAGGCTGACTACTTGCCTCTCACTCTGGGAAACAGGCACTACCCTAACTGGCGGTGGGAACGCAAGGACCCCTGTGGGAGGGAAGGCAGCAATCTCCAGAAAGACAGCAGGTAGGTGCCTGAATCCCAGAGACTCCATTTTCAAGCAATCTCCCTAAAGGTCACAGCAAAACTACAAAATAACATATGCAAAAGATGGTACTGTGGCTTTAGCAACAACAGCAAAACTGGACACAGCCTCTGACACTATTTTACACACACGCGCGTGCACACAGACACACTTGCACATTTTTCTCCATGGTCCCTGGCTCACAATCCCCACCCCCAGGCAGGCTTAGAAACCAGAATCTCTCCGCCCTAAGGGGGCACAGGAAACTCTGATTGCCCCTGTCTTGGAGCTGGCCACAAAGAGATCCTCCAACCTGCCCCATCTGTTGGCAGGTCACAGACCCTGCACTCCAGAGAGTCCCACCCCACACCCTAGAGGGCAGGAGGCTTCAGAGAGGCCAGGAAGAACCTGGGCCTCTCAGGGCTTTCCCACCGGGTCTGCTGGTGTTAGATGTGCAAGGAGGTCTCCATAAACACCCAGAACAGGGCTTGGTGAGCGTGGAGGCTGCTGAAGCAGCAGACCCTGCACCACGTGCCTTGTCCTATGCAAAGAACGCGTCTGGATCCTCTATAAAAGCAGCAGGTGTGCTTCCTGGAGTTCTGTGAGCCACTCATCCAACCTGAGAGGTTATGGGAACCCCAACTATGGCCAGTAGGTCAAAAGCACAGGTGAAACAAAGTGGGGGTTGGCAACTGGCATCGAAAGCCCGGAGCAGCCTTGGAGACCGAGCCCTCAACCTGTGGGATCTGACACCATCTTCAGGCGGACAGTGTCAGAGCTGAACTGGATTAAAGGACACGGAGCTGGAATGCCTGCTTGCTTGGTGTGTGGAGAACCCCTCGCCCCCAACATCTGGTGTCAGAGTGATCTGTGTTGAGAGGAGAACAGAAGAAAGCAAGTCTGAGTCACAGCTGGCTTTCCCGTCTGTATCCTCAGACAATGGCAAGGACATCAATGGCTACAGGAGACGAGGAAGGTGTCTGCATGTCAGTAAGCAACTACCTCTAGCACATGTTATTGGTGAATAAAACAAGGTACAGAATAGTACAATCTTTTCTGTAACAGCTGTGTGTGTGTGTGTGTGTGTATAAAATCTTGGTAAAATGAAACACTGGAAGACAGACTTTTATGAATATATCTTGTTCATGATTTCAACTGGAATTATGTTTTGTTTTGCTTTGGGCACTGGTAATTCAACCTAGGGCACTCTGCCACTGAGCTATATCACCAGTCTTTTTATTTTTTATTTTGACACAGAGCCTCACTAAGTTGCTGAGGCTAGTCTCAAAATTGCAATCCTCCTGCCTCAGTCTCCTGAATCGATGGGATTAAAGGTGTGTGTCACCATGCCCAGCAATGGCTGAGGGATCTTGATGTTACCAGAAAGTGTGGGAACAAAAACTGATAACAAAATGGCAATAGCCGGGGCTGGGGTTGTGACTCAGCAGAAGAGTGCTCACTAGCACGTGTGAGGCCCTGGGTTTGATCCTCAACATCACATAAAAATAAATAAAACAAAGGTATTGTGTCTAACTACAACTAAAAAAATTTTTTTTTTTTTTAAATGGCATAGCTGCCGGGCAGGGACGCACACACCTGTAATTCCAGCAGCTCTGGAGGCTGAGGCAGAAGGATCACAAGTTCAAAGTAGCCTCAGCAAAAGCAAGGCGCTAAGCAACTTGGTGAATGTCCAAGTTCAATCCCTGGTATTCCCCTACCCGCCCCCCGAAATCTGTTGGCTCAATCTAAGACCAGGGGATTCTCCTGAGAATGGCCCAAGTTCTAAATGTACTTCTGCTCTTCAGGTCACTCTGCTTTCAGCAGCCGGCTCCTGCACGGTGTTAAACTGGCCAAAAGAGTCTGAGAAGCCGTTGAGGCCACCTCCAGCCACCCCACAGCAATACTACTGTGAAAGGTCCAGAGCAAAGTCACCTGGAAGACTGGGCACTGCGGAGCCGTGTCCCTCCTCAAGGCCAGTGGTACCTCAGATACCAGATGGTTTCATTCTTCAACTGTGGTCCAAAGAGAGGGTTGAGCTGGGCCAGAATTGCAATCAGCCAACTGAAAAAAAATGACGGAGAAAAACAGAATGTGGTGAACTCATGTTGGAGCAGGAGCATTTTCATTTAGGATGTCAGAAGCACGTTAGTAGAACTTAAATCTGTTTTGCTTGGACCGAATCTTCAATACACACTGTGTTCATGGGAGCAAGTCTGACAACAAAACATTTCCCAAATAGCCAAGCTTTGACTTCAGCCCGCCGGCTTCCATTAGACCAGAACACACCCCGCTTCTCTAGCCATACCACTAAGACACGTAAGAGCACCAGTGGAGCTGGACCAAGTGGGCATTTAGCTTCTGCTGCTTGGTTCAGAATCTAAACAGCAAGGCATGCCCCTGTACTCCAGACCAACACGGAAGAAGAACAAGAGTAAAGGTGAAAGATGGCAGTTATCTTTTAAATGTGCTTATATTGTTCAGAAAGTCCTGAATAAATGGTTTTGTACCTACTAGAGTAATTCATATGCCCAATGATATTTGAGTATTGCTGAGCTAAGAGCAAAGCAAAGAGCAAGAAGAAAGATAGTAAGCAAATGTCTGGCCATTCAAGTCATTCCATGGTCAACATCCTACGCAAATATTTAATGAACACGTACTAGGTTCCAGGCCCCAGAAGTATAATGGAGAAGAAAAAAAGGTCACTATCTTCATAGAGCTTACGTAAGGCCAGGCAATAAATACCATAAAGAAAATAAAGCAAGGAGAAGTAGAAAATGGCTGAGGGTACCGTACTTTGACAGGACGGTCAGGAAGGGCAGTAACCAGAAAGAAACAGAGCACATGCTGCCGTTAGCGCCTATTCACAACACAAGCATCAACCAGAACTTCTCCACGGCAGGTGGGGGGACTGCAGGCCCAGCTTCCGCCTACTGCCATACAGTGACACCCCATGCTCCCCTCCCCACAGGGGCCCAGAGCATGCTTTCTGAGGAGCAGGAGAGACACTGCAGTGGACTCCTGAACTTTCAGGACCCTAAGCTCCCCTATGCAAAGAGAACTAGCCAAACCCAACCAGGCAGTCATCAGGCGGGCCCTCTCCTCCTGGGTGCTGTCATCCTGGGATTCTTCCAAGGGATCAGAAGGTGGACTTGAGCACCAGGAAGGGAGGGCAGGGCACTGGCCAGAGTACAGGAGCAGTGGTGCCCCAGGCCAGGCACTGCCCTCCCCGTCCCACGAAGGTAGTTCTGACACAGGAAACATAATACTTGAGGAAATCAGGCCAAAACAGATACCGCAAGCCAACTCACTTTATAAACGAAAGTTAATTCAAATGCAACTCTGATCCATCCTTAGAACAAGGGTATTAACACAAACACAAGACAGGATGGTAGTGGGTTCACCCTCCACCTGCCATCAGAGAGGAGGCCCCGCAGACACGCTGGAGCGCTGGGCCATAGTCACCACTGACGATGCAGAGCTCAGAGTGATGGAAAATTCCACCCAACCCAGGATTTCCCCAAGTCCAGCAGCCAATATGAGCTGCTGCAGAAGCAGCTGACCACGTTTCATAAGAGGCTGAGACAATGGCCAGTGCTTGGAAATACTAAATAAAAAAGGATGTCGGGACCTAAACCAGCCTGTCTCCTTTCATCACCAAGAACATACAGTATGGAAAAAAGTGAGCGCCTCCTGCGTTTGGGGGGCCATTCTTGGGAGTGGTGGCTCCCAACCCTGGCTGGCTGCACAGCACAGCATCCTGGAGCTTCCCAGATGTGCTGTGGCCACCCCACCCCCCACCTTCCATTTCATCCTAACACAACCAGGGAGAGAAAGGCCAAGTGATCTGCTTTGGTCACAATGCTAATTAGGTAGTAGCAGGTCTTAGAGCAGAAACCAGGCCAGCTGGGTGTTCCCACTATAGAAACCGACCTTTTGACATCTTAACTGAGAGCATCTCAGAAGGCAAGAGCTTAGCCAGAACCCTGCTGAAGAGCCCATCTGCTGGATGTCAAGTCCACCACTCCCTTTGGCACGCGGTAGGAATAGAGCGCGAAGGACAGAAGGAAGGCTACTCGCTGCAGAATTCAGGTGTTGGGGGTCAAACACAGGGGCATTCACCACCAAGTCACATCCCCAGCCCTTTTTACTTTTTATTTTCAGAAAGAGCCTTGAGCTGCCCAACCTGGCCTGGAACATGCCATCCTCCTGTCTCAGCCTCCAGAGTCACTGGGGTCATAGGCGTGTGCTACCATACCCAGACAGAAACTTTCTGAATTTGGTTTTACACTTTTTTTTTTTCTTTTTCTTTTTGAGATGGAGTCTCACTGTGTTGCCCAGGCTGGCCTTGAACTCCTAAACTCAAGTGCCCTAGCCCCCAAGTACTCACAATTTTTAATGTTTCAAGTCAAGCAAAAAACAAAGGACAACAATAACAACCCACTTTAAGAGCAAAACCAACAAAGCACAGTTCAAGAAAATTCCTCGGGAAGCAGGCCAGCTAGCTCATTTGAAATTGCACAGAGGAATTTCCGCTGGAGCCAGCTGAGCTCCGTGCCCGCTTGCCACTACCTCCCGATGCCAGAAATGCCTGAAAAGAGCGGGCACACGGCGTGCTGCAGGAGAGGAGCCCACTGCGCGCCGATGGCGGGGCACGTCCAGAGAGCGACTGGACATGCCCTTCCCTGCGCCCCAGCTTTCCACGTCTTCCTCACCCGAGGGCCAGCCCTAAGCCCAACCAGAGTTTTCAGGCTCCCCAGACAGCCATGGGTAGTGGACACTTCAGAGGACGGCAGGGCTGCGATGGATCAGGGATGAAGGATGAGGAAACAAGTCCAGAGAGCCTAACACCCCACAGGGATCAGTGCGAGAGCTGGAAGGGGTGCCCAGGCCCCCGACTCCACTACACCAGCTGCCTCCATGAGGCACTCGGAGGAGTCCAACCCCCAGCCGAGGCTGCCTCACTTCCCAGCCACTCCACACCACATCCCGCACTGGACTGGGTGGACAGGTCAGCCTTAGAAACCAGGAGCCACACATAAGAGACAATGGTGGCAGTAAGGGCCTAGACAGAGAGAAGCCTGGGCACTTTTGACTGACAAACACTGCCCTGCAGCCCAGGCTGGGCCGAGCTCCTGGTTCTCAGAATTCTCCAGTGTCATCTGCGCCCTCGCCACAGTGGGGCTCTATTCGGCCCTCGCCATCCTGCTGTGCTCTCTGGTCCACAGTCAGATGCTGGAACAGGGAACAAAGGCACAGGTTACTTCCTGGTGATGGTGACACACAGATGGAGCGACCTGACTTTGTCCAGCTTCCCTGTTGGCATGGGGAAGTCTGCAAGCACCACTCTACTGATGGACCCTCTGTCCCTACAGCCAGGGCGGGAGAGGAGTGACCTCTGCCGGTGAGCTCCCAGAGACAGCAGAAACGCGGGTAAGAGACCTGCCCTGGCTCCATTAAGGTGGCCTCTGTCAAGTTATCTGATTTATGACACCAGTACTTTCAAGCGCAGCAAGGTTGGGACTCGGTATTGGGGTGCATTTTAAGTCTAGCTGTGCCAACAGCAAGAGTGGCTACAGGCAGATGATCTCACAACCGCACGCCTGGCTCCCTGTTTGTAAAATACAAGTGACAATCCTGCCGAGGTGCTGAGAATTTCAGAGCTAACGCCAGTGCTGTGTGCAGTGGCCAAGGAGCAGACCTTCACCTTTGCTGGCCGTGCCCTTCCTCTGTGGGCAGCTCAAAACATATTCAAGCCGCGCAGGGCACTGCCCGCTCCTCACCTCAGGAGTTTCCCACTCGGCTCCCACCTCCTCTGCCACACTGGCAGGCAGCTCCCCCAGGTTCCCACCCCCGCTGCACACACCCCCCGTAAAGCCCTGGACAGTGAGCACGACCTATAACTTCCAATGATTAGAACGGGTCACACCACACGGTGGGATTTAAGAAAGGGAGATGACCCTGCATGGACCTGACCAGACCTGGTAAGTCCCTCAGGACAGGGCCCCACCTGCCTGCACCTGCACGGCGTGTCTCGGACCTCCTGCCTCCACTCCAAGTGCACCTTGCAATACCAGCTCAGGAGTCCCTCTTTCTCCTTGAAGCCAGTGTGACGTTCAGCTCAGTGTTCTACAGTGGAGAGAGCCGGGAGACTGGGCAGGAGCAGGCTGGTGGGCCAGGGAGTGGGCTTGGGGACATTCGGTGAAGTCTGCCCAGGCTCAGGCCCCCGACACGGTCCCTCTTTGATCTGGTGGCCTCGCCCAGCAAGACATGGAAACCAGATGGCCTGTGCACTTGGCAGCCCTCCTGCTTGCACAAGCACAAGGACCTCCATAACGCAGCAGGGCCATGGGCCACCTGCCTCCTGTCTAGCAGCTCCACACCAACTCGGGTCTGGCCAAACCCACGAAGCCCCCTGCTCTCTGCAGACTTTGCGGTCCAAATCCCTTCCATGGTGTCGTTTCGTGGGCAGGCTCCCTGTGTACCATGAGCAGTTTCCTTTTGCCTTACAGTTCCTCTTTTACCCCTGTTAATGCTTCTTTATGTTAAACCTGCCCTGCTGAACCCACTGTGCAGACTATCTCCTCACAGGACCCAGACTGCTACAGGAAGACAAGGATTTGACAGAGGAGATCCTGATACCAGCTTTGAAGATGGAGGGGCCCCCATAGCCAGGACCTCCAGGATCTGACAGTGGCCCCAACCATCAGCCATCAAGGAAGCAGAGACCCCAGCTCCAGGAACTGGCAAAGCCACAAGAGCTTGAGAGAGAACGGCAGGCTCCAGAGGAGAAAGCCCGCAGTGCCTTCCCTACTACACACAGCGCTACCTGGGCCGCGGCCCCTTACGACCAAGAAATGCCCTGTTTTTGCCAGTTCTAAATTGGAAGCACCCTCTTTTTCTTCCCTCCATACTCAAGGCTCACTTCCTATCCCAGGCCTTCCAGCTCAAAATGTGTCGCAACCCTCTTTTTTCTTTTTGCCTGGAGACAGGACAGGGTCTTTCTATGCTGCCAGCTCAGGATGGTCTCAAACTCACAGGCTCAAGCACTCATCTTGCCTCAG